GTCTCTGTTGCCAGTTTCTTGAAGTGTCTATGTATCTCTTAGATGGCCAATACTCTGATAGGTGGCTAGCTCTCCTTCTGTTTGTAATTATGAAAGCCTGGTATAATCCAGGGGCAACAAAATCCAGGTTAATCATTGGCCATCAGAGAAACACAAATCAAAATGGCACCGAGATTACATCTTCCTCTGATCAAAAGGGTGGTCATTAAAAAAAATAAGTAACAATAAACGCTGCTGAGGATGTGAGGAGAGAACTCCTATATGCTGCTGGTGGGAATGTAAACTAGTCCAGTCAATATGGCAGTTCTGCAAACAACCAGCAAGAGATCTTCCATAGGACCCAAATGTACCACTCCAGGATGTTTACCCAACAGCCTCCAAGTCAGCACATCACCGCAATACTTGAATGGATTAAGGAATGGATACGAAGATGTGGTACAGGTACATCTCCACAATGGAATATTTGTCAGCCACAAAAAGGGAATAAAGACATGTCATTTCTGAGAAAATGGTGGAGATGAGCCACTAAAATGAATTAAGTCAGTCCCAGGAAGATAAAGAGCATATGCTTTTCTCTCATTTGTGGTTCCTAGATTTTAGAGAGATGCATAATAGATACCAAAAGAAGTGGTATGTTCCCTGTGCTGTGATGGAAGCTCTGTAACCTGGGTAATTTAAACAACAGAAACGTATTTCTCCCAGTCCCGGAGGCTGAGAAGCCCATTATCCAATAGAGTCTATGCCTGGTGAGGGCACTCTCTTTCAAGATGGCTGCATCTTCACTTGGTGGCAGGGTAAATGCTATAGGAAGACAAAAAAAAGGTCAAACTCCCTCTCTTAATCCCGTTTATAAGAACACTAATCCCATGGTATGGCCCTCATGGCTTAATTACCCCATACTACTGCACAGGGTATGAAATTTCAACATGAATTTTCAACAAACATTGAAACTGTACCAGTCTGAGAGACCAAAGAAATCAAAGACAACCTGATTTGAGGCAAAAATAGCCCCCAGGGATCTAGCAGAAGAATTGAAGAATTGTACCTACAACCTAAAGCCAACCATTGATTATTTCAACAATTTCTTTCTTAACCATGTGTGAGTGTGAGACTGTGTCATGTTGCACACATGGAAGTTCTTGCCTTCCCACTATGTTAGAGACAGGGTCTCCCATGTTTGCTGCTGCATACACCAGACTGCTGGGCCATGAGGTCCCTGGGTTTCTCGTCTCCGCCTCCCCTCTCTCTGCAGCCATGGTTACAGAAACATCACTGCATCCAGCTCTCTGTGGGTCTAGACCCGGGTCCCATACTTCAATTCTTTCCTTCTGCCCTGAAACTATTTTTACATTTTCTCCCTGCATTAATCAACAAGCTTTCTTTACAATGGTACCAGATATAGTAAGATCTCAAAATAAACAGACATACAAGACAGAGCACAGTAGTCCTTCCTTCCTTGTGGCTTGGTTTCCCAGGATTTAGTTTGTCCATAATAACCGAAAGTATTAGATGCAAAACGTCAAAAGCAAACCATTTGTAGAAGTAAACTGGTGTCACTCTGAAGTTGCATGGCAGCGTGGCACAGCGTCGTTGTCCTGTCTCTTTCCACCGAGGATCTGAGCTTCTGCTCTTCCAGTGTGTCTACACTCAGCTGCGCTCTAGTCACTGAGTACCTGTGTCACACTGCCACTGTCCTGTTCAAATCACCTATTCACTCAACAGTGTCACTAGTGCAAGAAGAGTGATGCCTGTCAGCTTATTTAGCAAAATGTTGACTCGGGCGTGGCAGCTCACACCTGTAATCCCAGCCTTGAGGATGTTCATGAAGCAGGTGGGTTTCTGCGAGTCTGAGGCCTGCCTGGGCTTAACTGAGATCCTATTTCAAGAAAGAGAAAAATATGTTGCAATTCTATCTTTGTTTTAGCCATTCCTTATATAGATTTTCCTGGAAGCACTGCACACACAATGGAACGCTGAGTCTATTTTCAGCAAATTTCAGTCACCATGATCATACCCATTAAAGCCATGATAGATCCACGAATTGTTCATCTTTATCCTTACAGGAGATAGTGGGAAACCTTGTCTTTTCTAGTTAACTTCTATTGTTTGTTTCAATCACAGGCGATGGACTCTTAAAATGTTTAAAAAAGCTATTACCTTTTTTACCAGCGTTTGCCATCTCCTTTTAGGCTAGTTGTGCTTGTTACTTTTGTCTGTTTCTAGATGCATCTTTCTCCCTCATTGTCATCACTCATCTAGTGTTAGGCTTCAAAACTATACAGCCCAGCTTCTTATGGTTGGAGATGACCTTCATATATACTCATTCGGTTAGTTCTGTTCTTCTAGAGAACCCTGACTAAAACAATTCCCCTTCTTTCATTCTGTTCCTGATGGAAATAATGCATATGGCCAAGACACACTTAACAAGAGGAGTGATGGGATTTCTAACAGGGTTTAGATTCCAAATATGTACTTTCACTGAATGACAGGCACACTGTGAGACTCGACATGAAATAAGGCTGTTTGCACCACTGAGAAACTGCCATTTTTCTGCCAAAAAACATAAGATATAGCACTGAGAAAGAAAAAGAAGGTCCAAATCCCTGCTTGTCCACTCAGTAGTTGTATTAATTTGTGATCAACCAGTTTCCTTCTCTGAAACACTGGTAAATCTTCCTTTTTATTTTTCTTCCTTTCTTTTTTTATGGGACAGAGTCCCATTATTAAAGCCCTGGCTGACCTGTAACTCTCTATGTAGACCAGGCTAGCCTTGAACTCACAGGGACCTGCCTGCCTCTGCCTCCCCAGTACTAAAATTAAAGGTGTGGGCCACTGTACCCTACTGACTCTGTTGGAATAAACATTAAGTGAGATGACAGTTGAGGACAACCTAGCACTTATTATGCCTTCATAAACCTTGAGGTAAACCTCAATTTATTGCTTTGTGTGAGGGCCTTTTTCTGTTCAGTTTCTAGAGTGTTCCTGTCCCAGAGAACTAAATCAGGTAGATGATTTTGCTGCTAGAATTACTTGCATCTCATCTTGCGTGCTTTATAATATACCTGTCACTTGCTCGGGAATAGTAGTAGATGCACTGTGTAGCTAGTGACTTTTGACCCAGGCATTTCATTAACTGCTTATTCATATACCTTCTAAGAAAATGACACATTGATTAAAAACTGCCCCTCTCCATTGCCAGCTAACACAGACCTTACCAGTGACCATTTATATGTCCCTGGATCCATTTTCCTTTAGCGATAGATAGGATGTGGGTACTCACATCTTCAAGTCTATTCATAAGTCGCAAGGCAGGTATATCTCTAATTGTATCTCTTCTGTTCAAGTAACACACTCTCTGGGGGAAAAGAAGTCATCATCTTTCTGCTGTGAAATTGGTTTGCTGGTTTGCTGCCAAATCGAAGCCTTGCCATAGTAAATACATCAACTTTAATTATTCATTTCTATTTGCTCGAAGAAATATTCTTATGTGACATGCATATGTTCATGCATTTCCTTGTTGCGGCAACACGAAATAAAATGAGCTGCTTTCGCATGTAGAAGCAACTCCAAGGGGTCGTCACCGCTAACTTGTGTTCTCAGCACTCCGTGCATTCTCTCCACTCCGTGGAAGGAAGGGTAACAGGGAAGATGTATGGAGCAAGATGGTGATCTTTTTAGTGCTCCTTGGAGTAAACGAGAGAAAGAGCACTGCCATCTGCTACTGACCACAACCGGAAGCATCGACCTATGGAAGGGCATCGATGTTCAAGTTCCTTAGCCAGCTTCACCAGCAGAATGTACATAACTCGTGAGGTTGGGAGTCTTCAGTTCATCAGCAAGTCATCACAGCATACATATCAGGGTCTGCTCTGCCATCTGGTGTCCACTGAGGGAAACACGCACGAGCCATCCTGCGTTAACTATCCTGTGTTTTTCTTATACTTTAGTGATGGGTGTGAAGTTGTCATAGGCTCAACTAAAGGCAATCCCAGACCTCTGCCAAATTCCATGAGAAGGCAGTGTGAGAACATAGATCAAAACGAAAGATGTGCACACTTTTGGTCTTGTGATTCCATTTCTCTGAATGCATCTCGAGTGTGTGTGTGTGTGTGTGTGTGTGTGTGTGTGTGTGTGTGTGATTCCTCAGGTATCATCTACCTCATTTTTTGTTTTGTTTTGGTTTTTTATCATTTTTTATTTTAATTTTAAATAGCTTGTTTTACATGTCAATCCCAGTTCCCTCTCCCTCCCCTCCTCCCGCACTCCCCTTCCCCCCCTCCCTCTCACCCTATTGCCAAATCCTTCCACATAGGGGATATCTAGAGTCTGTCATTTTACTCTTGGTAGGGTCCAGGCACTCCCCTAAGAGTCCAGGCTGAGAGAGCATCTCTCTTTGTGCTATACCAGGGATAGACACTGATCCACAGCTCAGGGCCCCATAGGTTGCCCAGGCCTTCTCACTGACACTCACATTTGGGGGGTCCAGATCAGTCCCATGCTGGCCTCCCCACTGTCGGTCTGGGGTCCAAGAGCTCTCCCCTGCTCAGATCAGCTGTCTCTGCTGGTTTTGCCAGCCCATTCTTTGCCAATTTGCTCATCACTCCTCTCTCTCTGTCACTGGGTTCCTTGGGTTCAGTTCAGTGATTAATTGTGTGTTTGCCTCTGCTTCCATCAGTCACAGGATGACGGCTCCCTGATGGTTATAGACATCAAGTTCATTATCAGGAATGGGCATTCGAGGTGGTCCCTCCACTATTGCTTAGCTTGCCAATTGGTGTTATCCCTTTAGATCACTCGAGGTCACTCTGGTGCCTGATCTGTCTTCGATCCTATGATTCCCTCTTCCCCCTATTCTACCCCCACCCCCTCAACTTCCTGTTCCCCCATGACCAACTACCTCATTTTTTTTAAGGCAGCAGTTGTTTATTTTTAGTGACTGTCACACAGTGTAGTTACGGGGTGGAATCACATTATGACGCAATCTTCTTGAGAGAGGTTTTCTAAGGAAGGATTTGGAGCCTTCCACACTTATCAGACGCTTTCTCGTCAGTTTTCTCCAGTTTTGCAATTCTAGATCCAAACTGCATGGCCGGCTTCAGCAGGAGGGCTGAGGTTGTGAGGCCAAGTTCAACAGCTGGGAGGCGTAGAAGGAGCTTCTCACTAAGTCCTGGCGGCAAAGACAGGTCTGCCTTCTCCCACACCGGCAGGGAGTTTAGGAAAGACACAACGTTCTCACCCAGGATAGGAAACCTGGCTTCCTTTCCATGATCACCAATAACTCTGTCATCACAGCCGAGGTTTCTGGGGGAGATGCGACCCAGTTCCATTGCTATTTCCTCATTCAGACCTTCTAGACCTAGAGACTGGAAGCGGACACAATGACTGGAGTAGCCTGCCAGCTGCTCATCGGCACCAATCCCAGTGAGAATCACCTTTGCACTGCTCTGGTAAGATCTCACAGCATCCTGGCTCACTAACCAACCGACTCCTCTAGAAACAAACCAGACGGCACAGCCAATGTTATCGTCCAGAACTGTGTCCAAGGGCTGAACTAAGTGACATATTCCAGATCTTCTGAGTTTTTGTAGTTCTTCAAGAGAAACATTAGTTTCAACAAAATTCCAAGTCCGAGAAGGGTTGACAGACTGTAGTTCCTTTAGGCCCGCTCTTCCTGTGACTCCGTCTGGCGCTTCAGCATCACCAGGACCCTGAGACACAGCAGCACCCTGAGAGGACTCTTCCGAAGGGATCTCCTGATGGGCTTACTGGTTCCTTTTTACCTTAGGAACACTCGGCCCAGGCTTTAGTCACAAAAGCCACATTCAGGAGATCAATTGGCCCATAGGCAGAAAGGCTACTGAACATAACTTGAGTGTCATTGTCTTCTGCTTCAAACTGTACTCCATCAAAAACTTCTCCATCCCATAAAAACACATTGCCACTTTCATCTTCCACAGGCTGGGCAGTCAAAACACCTCTCAAATGAAGAACATGACCGGAAAATCAACACTGATAGTTGACACCAGATTTTAACAACTTCTTGCTGGCATTAGGGCCCTCTTTTAACTCTTTCCTGAAGTGCTTAACAGAGAAGCCTACACAACAGCAAATGCCACACATGGTTCTGTGAAGTCAAGGTGACTACTTCTTGACTTTGGTTGTCTCTGAGTTTTCTAATGCTTGGTATTCTTTTCTTAGTTCATCTAATGTATTTTTGCTTTCGGAAAACATTTTTGTTCGATCTGCAAGGAAGAATACATTGCTGTTCTGTTGCTGCTTGTATACTTTCCGATTCTTCTTCAGGTTAGAAAGTTCATCCACAAGGACTTTTTGTTCTTTAATCTTGCTGCTAAGGGCCTCGGTGTGTGCAGCCGACGTGTGGGCGGGCACGGGCGCGGCGCGATCGTCGGTGCGCACCCCATGGGTGGGCACCTCCACGCGAGCCACAAACCGGGAGCGGAACCGAGGGATCTACTTCATTTTTTTAAAGGCAGGTTTCCCATTTTCTTAGAACTTGCCTACAAGGCTGGAGTAGCTGGCCAGCAAGCCCAAGGAATCCTCCTGTTTCTGCCTCCCCAGTACCCCAAGCCCAGCTTTGAAAAAAAAATAATGTGGATTGCGGAGATGAAACTCAGTTCCTCATATCTGTATAACAAGGATTTTACTGACTGGACCAACTCCCCAGCCCAAAATGTTGCTAACCTTATCTGACTTTCTGGATCCTGGAACTCTTCCTCAGAATATCCAGAGACTGAGACTGCACACAGCCCCTGTCTTACAAGAATGCTTGGCTTTTGTGAGCACTGGCTGTAATTCCTGTATAACAAGTGCTGTAAATTCCAAGCCGGTTGTGACTTAAAGCTATGAACATTGCCACCATTTTGAAACCTCAGAACACATCATGAAGGCTGCTGAATCTGTTTGCCCAAACCTCAAAACTAATCAGCCTATAGATGGGATTTTCACTGTTGTTGATAAGGATGGTGTTATTATTAGTTACCAGTATCATGCGGCCAACATTTAAAATATGGATACTTCACAATTTTTCTTCTCCTTAGATTTCTTTTCCTGAGAGGGGATGTTAGGAAAGGGTAAAGAGAATGAAAGGGGCCTCTACATCTATTAGGGACACAAGAATATCAAGCTGTCAGCACTCTGATACAAATGTCATGACCAATGGCTAATGAGATGCTTTACAAATGGAATAGTCTTGGGTCTGCAGTACCCTTTGTGTACACGACAGCAGGAGCCATCCGTGTCTGGACAGGGACCTCCCTCGTGATGAACCCCTCCAGTGTTAAAAAGGAACCCCTCTTTTCCAACCATAAAGACCAGCTTAGAATCAGAAGGTGGAGAGAAATGTGACACGTCTGAGAACAAGATGAAGAGATGGGAGGGATAACTACCCCCTAATGAGACTGTTCTGTGTGAAGCCACTGTACTGACTTACAACTCAGAGCCTAATTGTCCCCTTCTTCCTTCTCCCACCGCAGGAGCTGCTGAGATTCCAAGCATTCCTGTCTGTTCCTTCCTGTCCCTAACTCTAATATATCATTGCTTGATTCCCTCCTGTGTCTTTAAGAAAAATAACATTTATCCATGAGACCAAGAACCTGTAAAAGGGACTCTGTGCCCTCTAGAGACACTCTGATCAGTTTTAAATACATCATTATGGCCCATATACTATAAAACAAGGGTGTGGGACTTTTATGCTTGTCAAAAAATTATAAAACACCTCAAGTGTTAGCCTCTGTATGTGGAAGAAAGGGGAGTGTGGGGTATAGGAATTTTCCATTCCATTATTCACCAAGTGCATGAAGCTCTTCTGTCTGTGCCCCACTGCCCCCCACCCCGCCTGCCTCCCACCCCTACCCCCTTTCACACCCTGTTGAAGACTATCACTAAATAATGGACTATTTTGACTCAGGTAAAAATCCGAGTTTGAGCCAGGCAGTGGTGGCACATGATTTTAATCTCAGCACTTGGGAGGCAGAGGCAGGCAGATCTCTATGTGTTTGAGACCAGCCTGGTCTGCAAAGTGAGTTCTAAGACAGCCAAGGTTACACATAGAAACCCTGTCTCAAAAACCCTAATAAATTAATAGTAATAATATTAGTAGTAATGATAATCATCATCATCATCATCATCTAAGTTTGAAGAGATTAAGGAACATTGTTGGGTGGTAATCCTGATCTCTTAGCTCTGGCTTAGAACACAGAGGTAGCTGGGGCCTCAGGAGATGTGACCACAGAATTAACCTTAGTGATGCAGGGGAGGAAAAAGAATTTTCTCTCTACCCTTTATCATTCTTAATTGGAACTTTCTGGATGGACCAACAGAGGAGGAACAGAGAACATCTCATGAGCGCAGGAAGAAAACCCAGAGAGGTTAATCTGTCTCTAGTAAATAAATATTAAAAGACAAGGTTAAAACTCTGGGGTTCAGGGCCATTCCCTTTCTGGGACAAAGACTGGAGAGTGTGAGGGAGCATCCCAGGAGACACATGTGTAAGAAGGCCCTTGGAGACCAGGCTTGCCAGGCAGGTTTTGACCGTGCCTTCTCCAGTGTCTCTAGGGATGTAGGAACCATTTTTTGATACAGAAGACACTAGAAAATAGATGTTTACGTTAGATGTAAAAATTCTAGGGACTGGAGAGATGGCTCAGAGGTTAAGAGCACCGGCTGCTCTTCCAGAGGTCCTGAGTTCAATTCCCAGCACCCATATGGTGTCACAACCATCTGTAATGAGATCCAGTACCCTCTTCTGGGCTGCAGGGATACATGCAGGCAGACCATTGTATATATAATAAATAATTTTTAAGATCCCTTGCTGAAGGGATTTTAGCTCAGTGGTAGAGATCTTGCCTAGCAAGTGCAAGGCCCTGGGTTCCATTCAGCTCTGAGAAAAAAAAATAGAAGACAACAGTTTCCTTCCTAAAGGTAATGCTATGCCTGTAGCTTCTCGAAAAGTAACCGTTTACAACAATCCATTTTGGCTCGAATTCTCTCTTATAGTAAGAGTATTTGGGGTCCACTGTAGCTCGAATATCCCCTGCAGGCTCACATGTTAGAATAGCTGGGAGTCAGCTGATGGTGCTCCTTGGGAAAGTTGTGGCACCTTTAGGAGTTGGAGTCTTGCTGGCAGGAGTAGGTTATTAGAAGTGGGGCTGGAGGATGTAAAGCCTGTTCCCACTTCCTGTTCACTGCTTCATAGAGGCAGATTCAATATGGCCAGCTGCCTTCTGTCCCAGCAGATTGTAATAAACTAAAAGGGAGTCAAGATACCCACATTCAAGGCTGGCAAGATGGCTCGGAAGGTAGAGGTTCTTGCTCTGTAAACCTAGTGACCTGAGTTTCATCCCCAGATCTCCGGAGATTTGTTGTCCGACCTCAACATGTACACAGTATGCCTGTACTTATACATGCACTGGTAATAATAATTTTTTTTTAACTTTAAACGCTTCTATATCCAACTGTGGGAGCTAGTTGTCACCATCTCTCAGGATGTTTTGGTCTTTTGAGCTGTCTAGTGATGAGTACCAGTTCCCCAAACCTCCTTTAGACCTGAGTGTGTGATCTGTGTAGGTATTTCTGTGTAAGACATGAGGTATTTATAATAACAAGACTGTAGATGAGGGCCTACATCTTAGCAAGCACTGACTAGGAGCCAGGTGCCCTTGAGGACTCCATATACATTCTGGCAACCACTGATGAAAAGGAACTTAAGAAATGAATAATGCCTAGTGTGGTGACACACATTTTTAACCCTAGCACTCAGGAGACAGAGGTGGGTGCATCCCTGTGAGTTTAAGACCAACATAGTCTACATAGAGAGTTCTAAGCCAGCTAGGCTTCCTGACTTCAAGGTGACTTCAAACTCATGAACAACAGTCTTTGACCTAGTTCTCTCTCCCCTCCAGCCTTGTCCCCTACTACTCATCCCCTGAAACATTCTGCTCTAGTAACATTCAGTGGTTTGGGATTGTTGGGGGTACTTCAGCTGTTGGCGGCTCTTGGGGTGTACCACACTGTTCGTAGCTGTTGAGGCACTCCAGCTGTTTGCAGCTGTTGGGGTGCAGCACACTATTTGCAGATGTTGGGCTACACCAGAGTGTGCTCATTTGTTCTGACAGCAGCCAGAGCTATGTTCGTTTTCATCCCTATATCCTTACATGCTAGGAAACACAAGTGCCTTTCCTTTCCTTTGTTACTGTATTTGTAGTCTTGTTATCTCGGTTTTAATAAACTACAAATTGGTTATAGTCATGTGGTCTTTTTATTTTTTCAAGAAGTCCAGTATTAACCACAAAGTACGACTCTGTAACAGATTAGTAAGAGAAACCCAGGAAGTAATCCACAGGGGATCAGGAACTGCATTCCACAGAAGGATAGAAAGGAGTCTCACTCTATTAATAGAGCCATGTACATGATGAACTCAAGGACTTGAACTTGACACAGGTAAGCATTGGCATGTTGTGACCCTTACAAAAAATGGGTACTTTTTAAAAAGGGCCTTAATATCAGAAGCTAACTCAGCTGTCCTAGAAGGAGGCCACAGGTCTTGTTTGATTTTATGTATGTATGTATGTTTATTGTTGTTTCTGTTTTTTGTTTGTTTGTTTTGGTTTCTATGTGTAGCCCTGGCTGTTCTGGAACTCATTTTGTAGACCAAGCTGTCCTCAAACTCACAGAGATCTGCTTGCCTCTGCCTCCCAAGTGCTGAGATTAAAAGCGTGTACTGCCACCACCGCCCGGCTGGTCTGGATATTTTTAAAAAAGAAGTGAGAGACTAACATACAACTAAGGTTAAGAGTGGTTGCTCTGGATACACAGAGATGGGAGAACGCAGATGCATTAGTTTTTCCAGGCAATTTTTTTATGTATAAAAGATTCCAGTGAACACATGAGACTGTTTCAGTCACGTGTGTGTTCACATGTGTGCAGGTCCACATGTGCACACGGAGAACAGTAGTATGATTTCTTCGGCTCCAGAACCTTGTTTTTGATACCAGGTTTGTTACTTACTGATGAGATCCTCTTACTGATGAGGCCCCATCTTGCCTCATTCATTCTGAACATTTTTTTAAAAAAATATGAATTCCCGGTACTCAACTCGGGGCCTTCGATGCTTGCAAAGCAAACATTTTATTGACTGAGTTCTCTCCCAAGCCTCTGGCTGTACCTTTCTAGACAGCTGTAATTATTCCCATGAGGCCCTGGAACATGATTCCTTATTTCTTTGCAAATTCCCTGCAAATTATTGTAGGAGCAAAGGTACCTCCATTTTCCCACTGAGACCGTGTTGCTGGGTACTGGCTGAGATCCCAGCCCAGAAGAGACAATATTGAGAATAGTTTTGTTTTAAACTCTAAGCTGTTGCTAAATCTCTAATGATACGGTCAAAGTCTCTGCTTGTGAAGTAAATAAGAAAGTTTTTGAACATGTGAAGCAATGGGTCCAGTGAGACTTTGGACTCTCAGTCCAGGTCTTTGTAGCTTGATGTACAAATGACGATAGGAAGGATATAAAATCATTCAGAATTTCAAACAAAGGTTTCCTGTGCGTCTTGTAAAACAAATGTTGTTGTGTGCTTCAACAGAAGTATATCTGTATATCTGTGTATGTCTATCTATAATTAGTAAAGTGTAACATGAAATATATAATACTAGATCCAAAGCCTCGGTAGGTAAAGGCATTTGCTGAACAACACTGGTGGCCTGAGTTCAATCCCTGGAGCCTCTATAAAGATAGAAAAGTGACTCACCAAGTTCACCTCTGTCCTCCATATATGCACCATGGCACATACAAACACCTATGTAGAATAAATAAAATTTAAAACTTGCCAGGTGTGGTGGCCATGTCTTAAATCCCAGCATTCAGGGTGATATCCATGGGTTTGAGGCCAACCCAGTTTTCACAGAAAATTCTAGAACAGGCAAGGCTTCATAGGGAGAATTTGTTTCAAATAAAACAATACAAAAATTAAGCCCAGGAGTTGTTAACATATACTATGGAGTGTAACCTCCAATAATGAGAAATAAACTCCTCATTTGCCAAAACAACTTGAATTTTTTTCTCAACAGTTCCTCCATTTGATTTGCCAAATTAAATCTCAATGATAAATCTCAACTTGCCTTTAAAATGTCATTTGCTATCCATTATCAGCCAGATGCTCAACTAGCCTGGGTTAGTATTTAGAATTTGAGCTTAAATATATGAAAAGGAATACAATCAATAGAAAAATCACATGATGCTGAAGCTACACAGAATAGCACATCCCAAACTGGATAATGGAAACCATTGAATGCTACCATCCCATCTCTCCCCTCAATAGTTTTTCTGCCAGCCCCACAAGTATTTTTGGAAGAGCTCTGGGAACAGTTTGTAGTTCTCAGCCATATTCAAGTGGTGAAAACATCCAGGAGTAAGAATCATCTTCATTTATTAATTATGCAGATGATCTTAGCAGTTAATTGTAGTAAGAGGGGATATTTTTTACCAGCCAGGAATTAAAAATAACCGCAAGCTCATGCGACTCCCTGCTAGTCTAAGTTTGATCTAATTGTTCCTTCATTTCCCTGCTATGGCTTTGTCACGTTGATGGAATGGGAGGTAGGAGCTGGCTAGGTGGTTTAGGACCCTGAAGAAAAGTGACCAGTTTCTTATCTAAATGCTGGGAATATCCTTGGGACTTTAGGAGCTGGAGACCAGAGATGCTAGAAGTGTTTGAGCCCAAATGTCTCCTGTTCCACTGTAGCCAGCAGGAGACACCAGAAGCAGGGTAGTTTTTATGTATCTCTTTTCCCCTAAAGGAGGCCCCTTTTCTGGAGACTATGTTAAGATTGTGACTGAGACTAGAAGGTACCTGGCATGGGAACTGGACCGGCCAGCTCAAACCCAGTCCCTTCAACCAATAAAGCCTTATTAATGCCAAGGCCGCAGGGCTCACTGGCTCCCTATTTCCTGAGACCACCCCTGCTGTAGATGTTCTCTGTTTTCTGCCCCACATCCTCTTCTCTTCTTAAGCATCCACCTATGAATCTGTTATAAACTTTTCTCTATATGACTTATCTTTTATGGTCCATGAATTTTATTCACCCAACTCATAAGGCAAGAACCCCCAAAGCTACCACCATTTTGGTGTCTTGAGTTTCTGGGACTTTAGCTCCCTGGGAAAGTCCCTGTCACTCTCAAATAAGCTCTTCGCACATTAACATCATTTCCCTAAGTTCAGTAGCTGGCAAACAGGAAGAGAGTCTTGAGAGAAAGTGAGGCAAGACAAACACAAGTGAGAAAATCCCAACCACTGCATGGTTTTTCGGGTTGATTCAAACAACATTTGAGGCCTCATATTACAATATGGTTTAAGAACAGTATTTTGTGTGACTGGAGAGACAGACAGCTCAGTGGTTAAGGGCACTTGTTGCTCATGCAGAAAACAGAGGTCTGGTTCCCAACACCACCTGGTGGCTCATAACCATTCATAATTCAGGTTTCAGGAGATCTGAAGCCCTCTTATGACCTCTACAAGCACCAGACACGCATGTGATGCACATACATACAAGTGGGCAAAACACGCATAGATATAGAATAAAATAAATAAGCCTAAAATGATTGAGTAGTTATTTTAGCATGTAGCTCAGTGGTAGATGGGTGCTTAGCATGCACCAAGCTCTGAGTTTCATCTCCAGCACTCAAATTAACAAATAACAAACAAAAAAACTCCATAGTATCTCAAATAGTTCATTGAAGACTCTTCTTATTTATTAAATCTATTCTTTGACAATTTCATGATTGTATATAATGCCTGTTGATTACTCATAGTCTGCATCCTGTCTTATCTCCCCCCCATCACTCCCCCTCCTCTCTACAAGCCCTTTCCCCCACATTCATGCCTTTTTGTTTTCTTTGTGACCCATCGATTTTCACCAAGGCCATCCATGTGGCCACAGGTTTGGAACTTGACACTGGAGCCTGGTGGGCTCGCTATTGGGTGGACAGCTAAAAGCAATGACTGAACCTTGTCCAGAACTCATCAGACTTTCAAGGGAACCAACCACAAAAGAACGTATCCTTTTTGTTCTTTTTGAAGTCTTAGAAATAAAGTCTTCATGACTAAACCGTCTAAAGTGTCTGTTGACTACTCTAAAATAACTTTCATTTCAACCATATGGAAAAGCTGCAGGGATAGGACAAGAGGCTTCTGCGTGCTCCTTACCCAGAGATTCCCATTCTAACACCATCAAATGTCCCCACAGGGCTTTACAGCAAGAGTCACACTGAATCATTCCCTCATACTCCTCCTCTCCTATCTGGTCTCTGCCCTTCATAGTCCTCACCTGTTTGAGGGATTTGCAGCATGGCCATTGTGCTATGCCCGAGGCTTTCTTGTGATGCGACTCAGGTTTATCTGGGTTGGCTGGAACAGTACAAAGGAGATACTGTCTTCTCATTGCACCCAAAAGAAAATGGGGAGCACACAGGGCCAGCTAATCCCACTAATGGACACTTTAATTTTGATTACTTAGTCAAGATGGTGTCCACTAGGTTCTCCCCATATAAATGCCTCTTTTACCCCTTTGCAATAATTACTTTTGACAGAACACTTTTTAGAACTGTGTGAATGTTTCATTGCTCATTCTATTTGCATCCCTTAGTTCTACCATCTATTGATATTTCTTGGCAGAATTCAATATTTTTGTGATCATTTCAAAATCATATTTTTCAAATTCCAACATCCCTACTACATTGCTTGTTGTCATCTTCCTTTTAGACAAAACTCTCCGTGCATTTTTTAAGTTAATTTAAAAAATTAATTTTACATGTACAGGTTTTTCCCTGTACCTAATGTCTGTGTACCATATGTTTTCAGTACCCATGGAGGCCAGAAGAGGGAATCAGATCCCCTGGAACTAGAATTAGTTATGAACCACTGAGTGCTGGGAATCCACAACTCAGTCTTCGAAAGAGTAACCAATGCTCTTAACCTCTGATCCCTCTCTCCAGACTTTCTCTATGTATTTTTTTTAGGAACGAAGGAGTGCACTGGTTTATAATCAAGTAAGTGTGTGGGTCTTAAATGTTTAGTTCAATGAATTTGAGAATTGCATGTACTCAAGTATTGTTACTTAAAAAATGGGGAAGTAAAAAATATCTAAAAAAATGTTATACACCCAAAAAAAGGGGGAAGTATTTCTATCCTTCTAGAATAGTCTCTCATGCAAGACAATTCATTATTAACCAACACTGGTAAGCCCAGTCTCCCATCATTATACCTCAGATGGCCAGATCATTCAGTTTACAACTTCATTAGCAAGATTTGCATCAAACTTCCCTCATCCCCCTCCATGCTCATCCCATTTTTGGCTTTCCCTCGTTCTCCATCTTCACTACGTAGAACAACTTGACCCTTCTTGTCTTCATTAGTATTCTCTCTTCTCCACCCAGCACAG